ACAATCAGCCACGGAAGGATAACAAAAATAATTCTTTTCTGATGTGGAAGATCAGACTAAACTGCAACCACAGAGCATACTAAGAATTATTTTTAACTGAATAAAATAAGCAGATAAAGAACACCACTATTTAACGTGGAAAAACCTCCAATGTGGAGGAAAAACCACGGGACAAACTCCGAAAAATATTCCACTATATCTCAGGATATTTACAATATCCTTTCAACACTCTATCACACAAGAGGTGTAAAATATAGTGTACACAGTGAGACCCACTCCTATTCAAATATTACAAATTTTGTAATACCAAGAAGAAATAGAGATGATACCCACCCCAGTGTATTTTTCTCACACTCTTAGGATTTACTCAACACTCTATTTTTTTTTTCTCTCACAAACACTCACAATGCTTGATGAAATCTTGTGTGTGTTGCTGCTTGTGCTTCCTTCAATTTCATTTCACGGCTATTTATAGCCAAATAAAGTTACTATTCATTTAATAAAATATTATTAATTGTTTATGAAGTCAAAAAAGGGGGCACCGAAATTGAAAATGTGCTGGACCTCACATAGGGAACTCGCGTTCTTTCAAACCCAACCGTGCCGTCTCAATAATCCAACTCATATCAATGGGACCAAGCAAAGCATATATCATTTATTAGAACCCTTTCAATGTGAGGTGCCATGTTTAAACAAGTGCGAAAACATTATTTAGTAAGGTTAATGAAAAGTTAACTTTCAGAAACTCATTATTATTGTTTGAAGTGTTTCTCAAGTGATGATGCTTTCGGAGCTCCTAACTAGTGTAATTTTGTGGTATGAGTTTGGTTAATTTAACTAATCATAAAGTTAATATCACACACTTTTAAGTGGACCTCTTAACCAACTATTCCGCATATATGACTTTTCTTTCCCTTGTGATCTTATACTCATTTTCTTAAGATGTTCTCAACCCTTACTCTTAGTCAAATTTGTTAAGTTTCTCTTGAGTAAATTATAGTCATATTATGCTTTCAAGCTGACAGACTGAAATGATGAAAACGATGCTTAAATAATAATATATACTTAAATCGGTGAGACTTTTGGCGAAGTGTATAATATTAGAACTTGACAGTCTTTTCGTTTTTGTTACTTACTAATATTATATGTTGATTAGAATATACCGATAGCAACCTTGGGTTTCTTAGTCTATATCTACCTGATATTACTATATTACTAATTTATCCACATTGCAACAGCGTTTGTGTTAATTGGAAAATCATGGCTGCAATATTAGTTGGCAGTTTAGAAATTTCCTCATCCTTTGTCCTATTCTTGCAACATTCTCTGGTGATTGAGGAAATGAACACTTCAAGTGTACGAAAACTTTTTGTACGAAATTTTGACGAATGCACACATTATTGGATAAACAGTTAAATTTACAAAAAAAAAAAAATCAAGGTGCGTGGCGTAAATCATGGCACGTAATTTTTAATAACATTTTCGTTAAGGTAGCATATAATCAAATAGAGCCGAATATATGATTATAGCCACCATATTAAATGGTAAACAGTTATAAGCAAGTTTTGAATTTTGTTTTCCCGGAATATTTTTGTTCTTCCATCGAATTGTCTCCACCTTTAAGCCGGAGTTATTTATATGGGCTAATATTTTTCAGAGGTAATAGAAAATAGGGATACATTTGAAACATTTGAGACAAAATTTTAAAAGTTAAATTGGGTCATTATAAGTTCAAAGGGTATATAACTTACATCATTGATGAAATAAGGCCGAAATTTGTAAAAAGCATGCACATATAAACGAAATGTGTAACATGGACCCGTAGCACCAGTATTTTAGCGTGTGTAGTTTATCAGTAAGAACTCGTGAATGAATAGTGGTTTAAGAAATACGGAGGACCTACCCCTGAATTCAACCAGACAAGCACTACTAAAGCAAAGGGAAAGATATAAAGAGAAGAGGATGAACAAAGACATGCAGTACTAGTACAGGGGGGAGCATCCTGAAAAGTGATGCTTCTTGCTTAGCTTGCAAAATCATATCAAAGAAGCGTTGTCCGTTCTTTTTGTGGTAGAAAGGGTGCTTATTTATCTAATGCCAATTGCATGACTCGCATTTGCAACAAAACAGTAGTAACACCATCATTAGCATTCTCATTAGACAAATAGCCTCAATTTAGTTCGCAGTTAGAGTTTTATGGCTTAGTTTGCCATTCTTTATCCGTCTAAGCCGCACCCTGCTATATATTTTTCTGCACTTTGTTTTCCTGGCGCATGTTCTCTCTCACTCTCTGGACAACATCATTGTTTGTCACAAAATATTCTAGAAAGCTATCATCGTCTCTCATCAACCCACCTCCTGGAGGGGATGGCTAATTAATTAAGTTTACCCATTATTATTATTAACTTTACACCAACTCAAAGGAATAATTTGAAATATATAAAATAATATTATTTTTATTGAAAATATTATCATCATAAAAATTTAATTCTCAATAGAAAATATTTTCAAATACCTAAAATGAACCGCAAGGAATGAGACCATGTTAACAATCTTATGATTATTATCTTCACAAAAAGGAAAATGGCCAATAAAATGAATCCTTACTGACGCAGACAATCTCAAATTAACCGGAATTGTCATGGCTTAAGAAAGGTAGAATTAATCTTAACAAATTGTTATTTTTATGGATGATAAAACTTAATCCTTGCTGGTCGTTACAGGGAAAAGAAAAGAACCATAATGAAATGGAGTGCTCAGGAAGGAATTAGCTTTTCGTAGTGGTCCTATACGCGTTAAAAGTGAATGCATGCATGTGTAGCTGTCTATTCCATTTCTATTAAATTTTGGTTTGTTAATATTTTTGTGACTTTAAGTGCCTCCCATGCTCCCACTCCCAGATTCAATTGCATGCATATGGGTCTTCATTTTACCTGGTGCCAAGCACTAACTTGTCTATAACATATACCACAGGGATATCGTATTTCTTAAATGCTGAGCAATTGAGAGGTGGTGGTCACGCGTTAAGGTGGAAGTAAAGTTTTATTATCATGCTCCTATATTTATCGTCCCTTTAATTTATTAATTTTTATATATAAATTATTTTTTATTATTAATTGAATTTAAAAAGTTTTTTAAACAACAAATTTTTAAAAGAAAATAATAATAATAAACATTTAATAGTTACAATAAACGCATTCAAAGTGTAGTTAAGATACACAGGACAGAAAACAGTGTCTCTTGCACCTGCTATTAAGTGCGCTTAAAGTGGCTATCCCTGGCTTTATTTTGCAACCTCCAAAAACGATGCAATTAATTATCACTTTTGCAGCAAGAAACAAATTGTGGTAAAATCAAACTATCGATGTTTCATTGTTGGTACTTGGTAGTACAGAGTATTTCCGACCCCGACAACGCCAAATACTTTTTAGGATATGAAAAATATGTAATTGCCGCAACATGCCAATTATTTCCTACGTAGCCTAGCTAGCATTTCCGAGGGAGGAATATCAATATACCCAGAAATGAGATTCAAAATCTAATAACTAGTTAAGAGTTGGAATCTTTGATGTAATGTGTTTTGTAATTTAATTTCAGCTTGAGTACCAAGGGATTGAAAAGCCCAATTAATCCATGCAATTCTTTTACTATATGATCCTTGATCTTATTCCTTTGACAAATTTTTACCTGAATCGTTTAGAACCAGAAGGTGTATTTATGCAAGGGTTTAGCACTAGCTAAATAGTTGACTGATTAATAATAATTAATTGCAATTAAATCATATAAGATTGTAAATATGTTTAGCAGATCAGATATTATGTTGCATTGCGACTTGCCATGATAGAATGGCAAATCATTAATTGTATTCAATTTTCGCCGGTAATGTTTGTAGGATTTATTATGAGAAGGATTTTTGTACGCATTCAATTTAGGACCGTGAAATTTAGTAATGCAATACTATCCTGTATTATGTACTGTATATAAAATAAGATTCACTGAGTAATTTGTATGGATTATTTACTTATTTTAAGGTGGTATACTCTGAGCTTGAGAGCATCTCCAAGGATGATATGTATTATAAAGTTAGTTAATCTTTATTATAATAATCATTAAATGAGTTTCACTACGACACATTAGTTTTTTTCATAACTTAAACAATTGTTCTCTATATCGATTTAATTCTAATAAAATGAAAATAAAGCTATTGAGAAAGAAAAATAATCCCTTCTTAGTTAAGATAAATTAAAATATTCAAAGAAAAGTATAGCATGAAGCAGAAAGAGTATTTGTATAGTTTATTTGGAAAAGTGATCCTTAATACTATACTTTTATACATAATTAATATTTTAGTTATTTTAATTAAACTCAAGAACACACAATAATTGCAGCTTTAAATTTTTAAATATAATAAAAAATAATAAATTCTCAAATTAATTCATAAAGGTATATAAATCATATATAGTATTGAAGGCTAATTTGAGAATTTACTCAAAATATAAAAAATGGTTTAATTTTAAAATTATGCTCACCGTAGCCATCACTAGACAAAGAGACAAACAGGATTGAGGGAAATTTGTATATCCAAATTGGTAATTAATGGGGGGCAATTGCATTCTCATAATAATTAAAATAAGATGTGATTATCAACTAATCATCTACTGTAAGCTTCCGCTGGCATACAATGTTTGGGACGTGGTCTATCAGAGTTAAAAATATATAAAGGTTAAAAAAACTCAAAGTTAAAGCAACCTTTATCCAGCTAGATCCAAAACTCGATTAATTACTATAAAGTAGAGGTTGATTAGAGGCTATTTAAGCTCATTCAAACTTTTGTACCATGGTCCATTAGCATATGCTCAAAAGTGAAACGGCTAGACTTATAAAATTTTCCCGTTAACGACCAATTATAAAGTTTCAGCAGTGTCGTTTGCGTAACGTCTCTTCGAAGATTCATTCCCTGGGCGAAACGCAAATATCCAATTCCAACATCAAGGTTTTGTACTTTATACAGTTATACTCCTCTCTCTCTCTCTCTCTCTCTCTCTCTCTCTCTCACTCTCACTCGACGTCGTTTTCAACCGTTTACTATTTTTTTAATAAAAATTAAAAATGGCGTGTCAACAAAGCCTCCAGCCCCACAAAAACACCGCAAACTGACGTAAACCCTAGTCCATTTACGAAACTACCCTCAGGTCACGGCGAGTGCATATATTCTCCTCAACACCGCGCGTACGTGTGTCACAGTGTCAGCGTCACTCTAATGGTGGCTGAGCTTGCTCCTCTAATTCTTGGCGTTAATTTTCCCAATTGAAGCACAATCGCGCAGCGTGTGACTCGACTAGTACGACAGTTACACTCTTCACTCGGTCAAGCCCCGGCGAAGCGTAACGGTCACATTACCGTTCCCATTTTCAACCCTTTCAACACTAATTTTTTCAACGCACGCTCTCGTTCTCTGCATCGTCACTTCGAAGTCTGTTCAATGCTTTAGGGTTCTGAGACTGAGCGTGAATTCCAATAACCAGTTTCGAGTTTCCAATTGGATTATCGTTTATGGTTGTTACCATGGAATAATCAATAATATTATTATCATTACGTTTAGATTTATAATTTTGGAATGACAATGGTGGCTGCAATTTCTACGACCATAAACTCCAAGCGGGCTTCGACTCCAACACCAACTAGGACTCCTCTGTTACCTTCTGAATCGGACAATGCACTCGCTCCTCCACGTAGGCCCAAAGCACGAGAAGTTACTTCTCGCTACATGTCTTCTTCTTCTTCCTCCTCTTCCTCTGTTTCTTCTCCTCCTAGACGGTGCCATTCGCCGCTGGTAACCAGGACGGTGAATTCCACGAGACCAAAGCAAACGCCTACCCCTACGCCGCTGGCAAAGCGGTCTCAGTCAGCAGAGCGCCGGCGGCAAGCCACTCCTCTCCCTACTGGCGGCGGAACTGAAGCTCCGGCTGCACAGAAGGTGCTTTTCACTTCGACGAGGAGTTTGTCCGTTTCGTTCCAGGGCGAGTCGTTCTCGATCCAGGTCAGAACGGCGAAGCCGCCGCCTCCGCAGCCGCAGAGTTTCAGGAAGAGCACTCCGGAGAGAAGGAAGGCCGCAACGACGCCGACACCAGTGAGAGGAGGAGGAACCGGCAATTCGGATCATACAGAGAATTCGAGGTCGCTGGATCAGCACAGATGGCCGGGAAAATTACAACAGCAGCACGCGAATTGCGTGAACAGAGGCTTGGATTGTGCCGATTCAGCGCTGAGAAAGCAAACGGATGCACCGGCGAACGTGGTTAGGTCGTTGCAGGATCTGATGGCCGATGTTCGAGCTTCCCACGACGCGACGCTGAAATCGGAGAGCAAAAAAAATGGCGGATCTGGGTTTCAGCCTGAGCATGAGGCAGAACCTGTTCCTTCTGATAACGAAAGCGTGACTTCTGGTAGTTCCTCTGGAGAAGGACAAGTACAACGAGGTTCTCGAGGGACGGTGGTGCCAGCGAGGTTCTGGCAAGACGCTAATAATCGGTTACGGCGCCAAACGGACCCTCCATCTTCTAGAAGCGGTGGAATTGTAAACAAAGGAATGGTTACTCCAAAGCTTTTAGTGCCGAAAAAGTTGGGGTTGGAATGTCCTGTTTCGTCTCCAAGAGGAGTTGTGAGTAGCAGGGTTCAAGGTTCTCCTATTCGTTCTGCGGTTCGTCCTGCTTCTCCGAGCAAGTTAGCGACGCCGTCAGTGTGGTCTCCTTCGAGAGGAGTGAGTCCCTCACGGGCACGAAACGGCGTCGCTGGTAGTCTGAGTAGTAGGTTCGGTAGCGAACCTTCTGTTTTGAGTTTTGCTGTTGATGTTCCGAGGGGGAAGATAGGGGAGAACCGAATTGTTGATGCGCATTTATTGAGACTCCTCCATAACAGGCTCTTGCAATGGCGTTTCGTAAACGCCAGAGCAGACGCTGCCCTCTCGGCACAGACTTCGAATGCGGAGGTATATGTATATATATTTTTAATTTTGTTTTTGTATTTGATCGAGCTAGTAAAAATCTGCCTGCTTGTGCATAGCTCTATGATTCTGTATTGGGTAAAGAGAGTGAATAGATATTTTTTGTTTTGAAGTTAGTTCCGTTTTAGAATATGATAACGAACCTGCAATGTAAAGACTGTGCTCATATAAGGGAAGATAGAGAAGAGAAAGGATTTTATGTTTATCTCCCTATTTGCTAGTATTTTTGTGTTCTACTTAGCTTTTCTTTGTTTTTTTTATTTTGTTATATTTTTGCCTAAATATATTTGGTTGTATCAGAAAAGCCTCTACGATGCATGGCTAGCTACGTCGAAACTACGGGAATCTGTCAGAGCCAAAAGAACAGAGTTTCAATTGCTGAAGCAGCGGTTTAAGCTAATTTCCATCTTGAAGGATCAAGTAAGATATACAGTTTACCTGTTCTAATTTTACTAGGGTATGTTTGGATTTAGGTTCACTTGATTTGAAGTTTTATCACTTCTCCAGTTGCAATTGTGACCTAGTTAATTTCATACTATAAAATGCATTTGTTACCTAAATGAAAATTGATAAGACCACCTATTATAGCTCTTAGCTCATTTATTTCATTTTTGGATTTGTATACATTTACCTTACTCATTTTTCTATCATGTTTTTCAATTGAGGTTAATGGGCAAAATCCAGATGAACTAATTGAAATTGGACCAAAATATATGTGATGATTCATTTCTTTTCCACGTGCCAAGGTAAAGCAAGAAAATGTTCCTTTGGGAAAAAGTGAGTTTGTAGTGTAGTGGGAAGTGGAATTCTTACATTGACAGTAATTAGAATGTAATCCAAATTGGGAGTCACAGATTTATTTACTTTCACTTGTAGATAAGGTAGATATAAGAACCTTAGCTGTCTGTTCAGCTTTTGTAGTAGTTCTTATTGGAAACTATTTTTTGCAGATGGTGTATTGGGAAGATTGGGCTACTCTAGATCCAGTCTACTCTAGTTCCCTTTCTGGCGCTATTGAAGCCCTAAGGGCTAGCACTCTTCGTCTTCCGGTTGTTGGTGGGGCCAAGGTATTTTCCTTTTTAGTTTCTTGCTTATTATTTTATTATATGTTATCATTGGTAGTGAGTGACCTAGCAATTCAGTTACTACTAATTATCATATTTGGGACTAACATAAAGGCTCTTTATTCTGTTTCAGGCAGACTTGTTGAATTTGAAGGATGCTATATGTTCAGCAATGGATGTGATGCAAGCAATGGCATCCTCCATATGCCTATTGTCACCGAAGGTACATATTTCTTTTGCCCAACCTGCTTTTGCAAATGTTTGTTCTCAATTATATTTATGATGAAGATAAGTGTTATTTTAATGTTGTTTTGTTTACTAATTACTTTTTTCAAGTGTCGTCTCTGTATCTCCCATTCTATATTATAATTATGGTTAAAAGTCTCCCAGGCTAGTTTATGTTTATGGTAAAAAATCAACTGAGGTGTGCACTGTAAGCCTAGTCTAGCGAAGTGACCAGTAGAGAAAAGCTATTTGCGTTTAATGTTCATATATGAGTGAAAAGTAAAAACAGTAGTTATTAGACTTGATTGTATTAAGTATTGCTTAAAATTTTCAGCTAGCTATAGTGTTGATATTTTCGTACTTCAAGGGATACAGCTAAAGGATAATAGCAGTACCATGTCTTCTTTTGTGTTGTTTTACAATTAAGATTAGAGTTTCACCTAAGTATTGTGTGTTGACCTTTATTGCATGGATTACTAAGGTGAAACTCCAATTTTAATTGGAGAAAAGCATCAAAAGGTCTATAATACCGCAGTTATGCTTTGTCCTACTACAAATTCCTTTGCTTCCTGTTCTTAGTAGTTCAGATAATTAAACCATAGAATTTAACTGCTCTCTGTGTATCAGATGCTGTGAGCAATTATCACAGGAAAGACTAAAAGTTTTTACGAAATGCCACATTGTGTAATACCAAATATGGTGCCTATCATGGAACCTAGAAAATGAGGAATTTGATTTTGGACAGGGTGCATAACCACGAAAGTCCTTTGAGTAAAACAACATACAGCCATTGCATTTGGATAGTTTCATCTTCTCTTTAGACATAATATCATCTGAATTTGATTTTGATAAAATCTCATGGTTTTAGAATCTTCAGATAGAAACTTTTTTAGTTGTTCCTATTTTTGTTTGCATTTATGTGATAATTTATTTGCACATGCCATATCGAGTGAGGTACAGAATGCATAATATCTTCTTAACAACTGTGTTTTGTTAGTATTAGTGAAAGTGTCTGTGACCCTAAGAATCAGTGTTTTGTTATGCTATTTATCATCCTGTCTGTCTTTAGTAAATACCACAGTAGTCCCACTCTCTTCTTTAATATTCAGCGACTGTCTGTGCAGTCAGGGAGACATCTTCGATTTGTTTAGCTAACTCTTTACGCACCTGCATTTAGAATGTTTTTCATTGCCCACGGTTTCTTGCCATAGCCAATTCACATCACGTCCACTTCATTTTGTGTTAATTTTTGTATGATGGAGGTGAATAAAAGAAAATATAAGTGGGGCTGTGTAAAACATCTGGTTTTTTTTTTTATTTCTCTCTCTTTTTTCTTAAAGAAATAAAAACAAAAGAACAAAATAAATAAAAAAGCAAATCAGGTGAATTACACTGTCAGGAGTTTACGCATTTCCTGTTTTATGGATATCCGGCATAAGTAGTTGTTATTGGTCAGAGTTATTGCCATGTGAAAATTTCTGAATGCATTGGTAATGTGATAGGTTGGGCAAATAAATTCGCTGGTTGTTGAAGTTGCCAACTTAAGTGCAAAGGAACGTGTTTTGCTTGAAGAGTGCACAGACCTTTTGTCAGTGATTAAAACCTTGCAGGTAGATTTTGTATATTGGAAAGAGATGTTGTAGCTTAAAGTACTTCTTTTGATCTTCCTTGGATGATCGTTAAATGCAGTTTGCCGGTATATAGCCACAAACTCATTAATAAAAACTTTTCCTGAGCAGGTTAGAGAGTATAGCCTGAGAACGCATATTGCGCAACTGAGATGCTTACCCTGAAGTACAACAGTGAAAATAACAAGCATATAAATTCGTTATCTGACCTGCCTTTTTTCAGTGCTAACTTCATAACATAGGAATGGTTATTTTGCCCCTGATTTCAATACATGAACCGTCGTGATGACTGATTGAGAAATGCTGGATAGTTCGGGAAAAAATAAAGTTGCAGATAGTACGAGTGTTGCGTGGAGATATTTTGTGGAACGTTGATTTTTACTTACGAGAACAACTGTGTATGGGCGTGCGCCCTGTACTGATCAAACAGGCTATGGCGTTTCGTAAAAAGCAATTCCTCCCAAATAGTTAGCTCGCTGGTTGATTATATGCTAAAAGGTGAGGATTTAAATTTGTTGTTCGGAATTTCATTTGTATACAGTTTTTTCTTTAAAAAAATTACTTTTCTTGCTGTTTTGTCCTTTTAGTGACAAAGGATGTACATAAACTGTGTAGCATTTATATTTTAGTTTTTTTCTCCTGTTTCTTTTTGTATTTGTGTTCGTATGAAGTACAAAGTTTGTTAGAAGGCCAACTAGAAAAAAATGTGGTATTTGCAGTGCTACTTACTCTTGTATATTTCTGAAAAAAAGGCCTTTAGCACATTTTAATCGACATAATTGAATATTTCATTAAATGAAAAATATTTGTAACAGGATATTAATTATTAATTAAAATTCATTAAAAATTAAAAATAATTATGAATAACTTTATAATTTTTAATAAATTGTAATTAATAAATAAGTATGTCTTGAAAAGAGTGTATTGATAAAAATATCCTACACTTCTTCGTTATTTTGATAAAAGTATGATGTGATGTAACCCGGTTATGTGACTCTTTTTAAGTTTTCGCTAATATTTTCATGCTGCTGTTTGCATTTTAAGTTTATGCACGATTGTGTGACTACTATTCAGTTGAACTATTTTAATTGAATTTATGTGAGGGGAAGTAAGCCCGTTTAAGATTATTGCGTGTCTTTTTAAATATATCAGGGTCTTCTCATATTTGGTATAACATGAAATCATGTTAATGAAATCCTAATCCTTCAATTTTACTTAAGGCAAATAAGTGGCTGTGATTATAACATTTTTTCTCTCACTTCAAAACCCACCTTTTACTAACTCTATTCCTCCTCCTTTTTTTTTTTTTCCTTTCCAGCAACAAACCTAGCTACAACACCACCCCTTCAGAAAGCTCCTCGTCCACAAAACGACCAAATGAACTCACCATAGCCACAACCTTGATCTCTGCCACACCACATACAGAGCATGTAATGAGTAATTGTCGTAGCTATAATAGTGACACACCTTCTAACACGTAGGGAAAAGAGCTAGTTCAACCTCTAGCAAACCAATCTTTACCGAGACCAAAATTTATTCCCTTTAATTTTTAGACCCCAAGACAATAGTAAAGACAAGCCAAGGTAATGTATTCTACTGAGAAATGCGACTCAACACAACCTTGTTATTGTAGGTCGGGTTTGTTTAAAATTTAAAATAAGAATCACGAGCGATTTAATAATTTTTATTTGTTGATAAATCATAAACTTTTATAATGGTGTTGGGTGTTTTAAATTTAGTCAACAAGACTGAATTAGATCCATTCATTTAACGAAACTCAATGTTAAATTCGACTGTTTCTTTTACTTGGTAAAAAAAAAAATTGGTCTCAACGGTTGACGTTAACAGAACTAAAAAATAAATTATCTTAAAATTACAGATAATACTCATCAATTTGGATTTAAGATATAAATTCTCCAAGGTTGAAACTCAAGACTTTACTTTAAAATAAATAAATATGTATCATTTGAACGAATAATCTATTAATATAAATATTATGAATTTATTTGTTAGCTTAGGAAATAGGAATATTTATTATTATAGAAAATTAATATATACTATTATACGATGTTTAGAAAAGTTTATGGAGAACTTAAAAAAATAGTTTATTACTTTCAAACTTTTTCAACTTATTTCAATAAATTTTTTCATACTTCTCAAAATAAGCCTTTTTTAGCTTATGTCATTAAGTTAAACAACTAAATATATGATACAAACCTTTTATAAATATAAATTTATTAAATAAGTTCTTAATTAAGTTACTGCCTTAATAAACAAACAGCATAGGTGCTCAGTGTTTATACTAACATAACTGAGTTTGTATGATTTGACAGAGTGAATAAAGTTTTTTTTTCTTTTTGCCACAATAACGTGGAAACGTTATATATTCATGCGTTTCTAAAGTGAATTATATTATAAACATTAAGCCGTGACTATTATTTTTGTTTATCACATGTAAGGTTTATCGTTAATTGAATTGATATATTTATTAGCTTCATTTACCATAAAAACATTGATATATTTTCAATTTCATTATTATCATTAGCAAGTACCAATCAATCCACAGTATCCTTCATTTCTCTTTAATTTCATTTTTGGGTCCTTCTTTTTTTTATTATCAATCCACAGGGTCTTTAAAGATGTTGAACTGACGTCTGGGTGGGCCTTATGGTTGCTACATAGTGTTAAACACTAGGCCCAATTCCTGAGTCCATTCTCTTGCCCTCAAACCAGCACGGTAATGGCCATAAAAAAAATGCTGACCACGACCCATCCCCCGGCCCAGATAATGGCGATTAATTTTCCTTTTTTCTTCTCATTCGCCCTTAGATTATACCTTTTTTAAAGGTAGGAGTATTAACAAAATATTCTTTAACATATTTTAAAATTTTTCTAACAGGTTTTTTATTATTGACTAAAAACTATAAAATAATGAGTGAACCTGATTAAATAAAATATATATTTTTCAATAAATTTCTACTATTAATAAAAATTGTAGTTAAAAAATTAATAATTTTTAAAAACCATATTAAGATACATTAAAAGTTATAAAAATGAGTTCTTTTAATATTTTTAATTCTTTTTCTAATAATATCTTAAAAATACTTATTAATATTTAAAAATTATTAAGTACAAACAGAACTGTAAAAGAGAGAAAATTAAAGTTAGTCAGTTTAATTTGATGAGGTAGGGGAGTGAGGAAAGATGTGTGTGGATGGGAAGACAAGAGAATTGAAAACATAGCATGGCATCGCCATTTGGAGACAGACACATAGACTTTGAGGAAAGATGTGTTGTGTAGATTATGAATGATTAATCAGTGGTTGATTGATGCCATACAAATCTATTACTTAATTATGCTCTTTCTCAACGCCCAACTTTGACACGTTGGATTGGAATACTAAACCATCAAATCATCACTCACTTATCATAAATTAAGAAAAGAAACTTATATTTAATTATAAAAATTAATAATTTAGTATTTATTTTACTTGTATTTTAATTAAATTGTATGTTAACAACCTTTCAGATTAAAGAAACGTTTTTTAATTTTGTTATTTACCTCTTGTAAAACTTTGAAAGGAAGAGTATTTTTTTACTAATAATCATTGTTATACCGTCGATCATCCTTTTATTTTTTATAAATTTTATTTATGTATATCACAAAACAAAACAATAACCCTCATTCTGATAAAAACGACTTTCACGTATTATAACTCGATTTGAGTAAAATTTTAAAAATTTTCTATTAAAGAAAAAAGTATAAAAAATAGTTTATTTTTTAAATTTTTAAAAAATTAAATGAGAGAGTTTCTTAAAAAATAAAAAATTAATTATTCTTAACTTATAAAAAAATTTATAATAATTTTCTTAAAAAAAATTACCCATATTAAATATATGCAAAACCATATAAGTTATTTTTAACTTTTTTCTTTCTTTCTCAAACTATTATAAATAATAAAGGCAATGATAATTTTTTTATACATATAAATTTTAACTTGGATAACACGTTTAATATATTATAAAACTTATAATTACATAATAATTTTTTAGCTAAAGATAATAATTTGTCTACACTTTGAAATAATAATTTTTTTTTATCTTTTTCTTTTTAATTAATAATATAAAGAGTATGAAAATTATATTGTTAATTATCTTTGAGTTAAATCAAAGTTGTTAAACAAAGATTTAAATTATTTTCAGTTGTAACAGAAGTAAATGTTTGATTCTATTTTTATTTAAGTAAAATTCACTTACTTTTCCACACTCAGTCTTTTTCTTGCTCCTTCATCTTCTCAAATCCACTTACCTCCTTCTCTCCTACTTCTCTAATTCTTTTAAGGAATATGTGAAATTTGTTTAAGTAAAATTTGTGTAAATTTTTTTATTATTTTTTATATTTTTATTTTTGTAAATCCATTTTCCATTCAAGTAAACATAGAACTGAATATTCAATTTTTATCACAAAAGGAGAGAATCCAAATCCACTAAACAGGTTTGACTTAACAAAGCGGAGAACTCATGTGACTAGTGAGTAAGTTTTTCATTACAAAAGGTTAATTCATTTCACACAAATAAAATTTATGAAATTAGAGTTAAAATATCCAATAATATAATCGAGTGAACGCAACGAAGATCAACCTAAAATAATTTTTTATTATTATTATTATTATAAATTTAGCTAACTTTTTTTATATTAAATGGGACATACAACTTAACCGGAATAAAACTAAACAATAAATTTAAACCACAAAATTTCTAAAGAATCAAAAGAAAGGCTTAAAAAAAATGGTGCCTTATAAAAAATAGTGAAAGGTAACTTAAGTTCGAGATCTATCTTAACTAATCAATTAACACTCTAATTTATTTATTTAAAAATATAATTAAATCTAATAAATTTAATATATGTGAAAATAAATATATGCTCTAAATTAATAATTTTTAATCTAGCAAAAAAAAAAATTAAGTATCAAGAGAATAAATAATCTCTAGAAATGATAACTAGTTGAATTTAAATAAAATATAATTTTCATGCATATATTTTAAAAAATTATTTATATACAAACTCATACTTACGTAGGTAACAAATTTAAAACTTGTATTTTTATTTATTGAATACTTACCTGAATTCATTAATCATAAGTTAGTTAACTTGAATATAATTTATTGTAATATAATTTTTGATAAATTAATAAAATAAATTTTATTATAATATTAATTTTGATGATTAAAAAAAGCATTAATTAAAAGCATACTATATATGCAACTTAATCAAAAAATATTTAATTCATAATTTTAAAATTTTATAATTAAATATATTTAAGTTACTTAGAATTATTTAAAAACTATATAATTTAATTATAAAATTAATAAATAAATTATGTAAGTATAGAGAAATTTAGATAATATACTAAGCATACTCACAAGCCACAATCTTATTAATATAATTTTATGAATAATTACACATATTATTGATATTCATTAAATTTAAATTTATTTTAAAATTTAAAATAAAATTAACATTGTTAACATGCTCATTTAGTACGAAACGTGTTTGATCTTTAATAAAATATAAGTCACTCTTAAGATGATGTAATAAGTTAAAAAATATATTTTAAGATTTTGTAAAAAAAAATATATTTAAAGTTTTATTTTTATTTTATTTTAAATTTTAAAAAACCCTGAAATTAATGTATGATTACTGTTGTCAAAAGTTTTAATTATTTATTATGTATTTTTATAAATTTGTATTAACTCTCTTAATTTATAAAGATTGTATAAAGCTTGTCCGCTAGATCAACATTACAAGTTAAATTAAGTATCTATATATTTTAAAGATTTATTCTGTCTTCTTAATTATTCAATTAAAAAAACTAAATCATAAACACTTTAATTTTACCCTTACTACTAACAATTTCTCAACATTTATCAGCTTCTCATTTAATAATTATAATTTTTTTAAAAAGAACTACAAATTTTTTTAATCTTTATCAAACAAAAATTCAAATTTGAATTGACAATAAGATCGATGGAGATTAATATTAATAAATAGTTTTTAATTAACAATGTTTATCAAAATTAATATGAAATTAAAAGATTTTTACATTGAAGATTCCAAATTAAAAAAATTCATCAAAACCTTTTTTACAAGTCTACAAAACTATTTTAATAATATTGTAATTTAAAAGTCATGAATTATACCTTATTATATATATATGCTCCAATTTATTTTTCTTAATTGTCAACGAAAACAGAATCAGTTAGCAACAACGTGATTCCAACAACTTGGACACCACCAAGATTCCGCGAACGACGCCAAGGAAACTGGAAGCTACCAACCTCATAATAACTCTGAGGACCACTCAAGCCTCTACCACCAAAAATAATGCTTCATTTTTTAATATATATTTAAAGACACATAATAAAAATATATGTACAATATTATTTTATTAAAAATAATAAATTATTGTACATTTTAATATTTTTTAATTAAATAATATTATTTGTCAAATTCATCTCGCTCAAATTATTGTCCCCCTATTTAGGGCACTGCAGTATAGTTCCAAATTATATCATGTCTTCTTCAGTTAATTTGGTAGCCGAACATTTAATTATAATTCACTTCATTCAGACACTTTCCAAGACAAGTAAATCAAATACAATTACAAAACTTTTCTTCTTTTAAAAAAAATATTAATCTCAGTATTTAGTTTGAGTTCAAGTAATTAAAAATAATAAATTTTAATAAAAAAAATTATTATACCTTTGTAGTTTTAATATATAATGAATGTGTTTTTTTCTTATATATATTTTTTAATTTTTTAATACGTCAACTTAGTTTACATGGCTGACCAGTCCAACAATTTGTGTGTGAAAACAGCGACTAAAGTTTTATGTATTGAAAGTTTTTATATATGGTGATGTATATTTTTGCATGTATGTGTATCACTAATTATTAATTTTGTGGGGGAAAATTTTGATCGACAAATACAAAATAAATGAAATCTTCTTCATTAGACTTTGTGATAACTTCTGCATTCATTACTTATTTAAAAAAATTATTTTGTTTAAATTTAATCTTATTTAATATAATACAATATTTTATAATTAATAATAAAATTATCGTTTTTAAAAATTTATTAAATTTAAAATAGTTATTTATGACAATTTTATTTCAAAAATATTTTAATTTAACAGTACTTGTATAATGTATAAAAAAATTCAAATGCTATGTGAAGTACCATTTTACAAAATCCTATTTAAATATTATAAAATACTAAAATAAGTATTTTTATCAAATAAGTCTAATATAGTTATATAAAAATTTTAAGTTGGTCAAATAAGTTAAACCAAACACAGTTTTTATCATCCTGTTTAAGTCTTTGAACGGAGTTCACACATATTTTAAGACTAATTCAAGAATATGAACTATTCAAATATTAGTATTATATTTTATATTTGGCACGTTTAACTTTCCATCTTGAAAAGTTGAAGTCCAGATAAAAGAAATATTTTATGAAATATTACTTTCAATTAAAATTATGACCTAATTAATTATACTTTCTTTTTAAACACGTTGATCTATTTTTTATTAAAGTAATATTAACTTCATTATTGTGATATTTTTTAAATATATATAATAATATTATAGTGTCACATCGACTCTACATCAACATTTTTTTTTATTAAAACAGCTAAATAATACATCCGTTTATCAAATTTAACCCACTTAACAGTTAGAAATCATGCTCAGATCAATCATTGTAGTACCATGTCGACAATGAACAATTAAGAAATTATTTTCCGACACATAATTGTGATTATAGTTAAAATCCATTTATTTTTATTTTTAACAAATAGTAATGTTGAATGACAACTCCTAAAAATCATTAGGTTTGATGAAAAAAAATTTGATACAATAAAAAATGAAAATAAAACAGTAAAATGTTTGTACAATTTTAAATAATATATAACACCGAATAAATAAAGGATCGCAACAAACCTAAAACAAATAATCACTTGTCATGCTTTATTCGCTTAATATTCATCATTATATGCAAAAAATTTGACATAAAGATAAAATGTTGATTCATGATTATTCATAAAAAGTAAATTAAAGTATAATATAAGATATTCTTATTATTTATTTTTTAAAATAAAAATTACAAGTGTATAACAAAAATACACCTTCTCTTTTTGTGAATTTATATAAAGTAATAATATATCACTTTTTTTTATCAATTATTGTATAAAATTTGAAAATAAGAGACTTAATTTAAATAATTAAAAAAATAAATATGAGTAATTAAATGAAAGAAACTAAAATTATACATAAATTAAAATATAGAGACAAAAATAAAGTAATTAAATGAAAGAAACTAAAATTATACATAAATTAAAATACAGAGACAAAAATAATCAAGGCCAAATACTTTACTTAACATTGTTGATTTGGTTATTTGGAGACATTTTAAGATGGAGAGATATTTAGTTATTTATTTATCTATTTAGTAATTACTATGGATATTATAATAAAGTGTGTACAATTCAAAAATTTAGAAATATTTTTGACGTTTTGAAATAAGTAAATTATAGCATATATAACTTAAAATATAGGAAATTTTTTTTACAGGGTTTATTATTTTTTATATTACTAGTAGAAACCGACTTATAAAAAATATTATTTTTTCTAATTATACTACGTGGATTTATTACTAATCACATGTTCGAGAAGGAAACTCTTTAGCGTGTAAACTAAAATTAGAAAACGTGTGCATCCGAGGGGTATCAAGGTCCACGCGTTCTGCACGGTACTAACAATAACTGATTATATCATGTGAACAAACATTCTAGTATGAACCCTAGAATTGGGTCGTCCTCGTTTTACTATGCCCTCTAACACGCAAAGGGGTTTGGCCTAAATTGCTAACTAAAGACGATGTTTCTTGCTCCTTATATTACTTTAATGCTGTGGATGCCACATGTGACTGTAGCAAAGCGAATTTGACAGTGGAGAGGTGAAGATCGAATAACGTAGCAGTTATCTGGTAATTATTTGACACGTTCAAAGTAACACGGCAAGAAATTCATATTCCTTTCCTTCTACATCACACACATGTAAAACGAAATTTCAGTTCCTTTTCCTACCTTATACTATACGTTCACATGGAAAACGAATCAAACCACTTATCCACATATTGTTTTATGGCTCTTTGGCGTTTGGCAAATTAGGACCATTTCGTTCAATGACGCGGCATAGGAATACCTCCCACCCATTGTAAATGCAAGCAAGTTCACTGTCAACGATATTAATTAAAAAATTGGTGAATAAAATATTTTATTCAAAATTATGAGTGTGAAAAATATAAGTAACTCGAAGATAAGTAATCGCGCTTGTCGTTACCATCAACACCATTTGATCACAATGTGTAAAGTGACAAAACTTCGTTCTTATCTAAACCATACTTAATTCACGAAACATCCTCATCCCCCTGCTCTTCCCTCTTCTGCATGCCACTTACTAACTCCTTCCGATTCAAATCACTGCATATGCACTTACATGTGTGGTACAATAATTGAGAAAGAGAAGTGATATTTGTAAATAAATGTGTTATTTTATTTAACAAATTAGATAGATAAAAAAATGAGTACTGTGATAGTAAAATAGAAAGAAAAAAAATATTATTATTATCATAAAAATAATATTATTTATTAGACAAAATTGATATACATCTTAAGAGGTATTTACATTTGGGAGAAAAATATAATAAATGTGATAGACAATATAATATAAAAGAAACCAAATAAAAAAGTTGAAAGCAATAGTGACCGTTAGTATTAATAAAAATATTTAAGAGAAAAAACACTATTTAATTAATTTAACTCCAATTAAACACCAAAATTGTTTAAATATAAAGTGCAGTGACGTGTAAATGTATAAATTAAAAAGGTATTGAATATTATGGGCGTAAAAGAAAAGGAACCAGTAGTGTGTGAAGTGTTCCAACAGTAAAAACCGTCAACGACACCCAGACAAAAAAGATGCGCTACTGGTTTCAACATTCAACTGAAATCAAACAGCCACTGCCACCACCACTCACCACGCGCCTCTGCCGTTTCATGATGATCACTCCACCGCCACCACTCATTCATTATTATAACTTCATAATAATAAAATTTTCACAAATAAAATCACCAAAGAAATAAACAAATAAATTGAATTTCCAATTTGCCACTGTCAAAGTACAATAATCTAAACAAGACTTGTTCCAAGTACTATGTACAGAAACAAATAAGATAAATAACTCAAAATTTTCCAAAATAATCCAAAAACTAAACGAAGCAAAAATCATATATGACCGACGCTACGTCACTAAGGAAGTTTTCACTTTTCACTAATCTAAAATTCAACGACTTCAATGGAATTGAGGGATTTCGATCTTTGGAATGAAAAAGAGACGAGGCTTCTTCATCACAGGGTGAGGACTCTCAACCTCGTCTTCTCCAACCTTTGTCGAAAAATCCGGCAAAGCAGGGACGTTAAGATCGAAGTCACGGTGACTGTGACTAACGGTGTGTGTGGAGCCCACACCCTCAGAGGCGGTTACAGCGCTGTTACCAGCACCGCCTTCGTAGTGACAACGTTTGTGTCCACCCAAGGCCTGTCCAGTGGGAAAGGACTTGTGACAGATGGAACACTCGTGGGCCCTACCTCCGCCGTTGGTGGTTGTCGTGGCGGAACTGGTGGCGGTGGCGGCGGAGGAGGTGGACTGATCTTCGCCGGCGAGTTTCCGGTGACTGGCCTTGTGTCCACCAAGGGCTTGGTAAGAGGGGAAGGCTTTGTTACAAACGGAACATTTGTAACTGAGTTTAGCGGCGGCAGTGGCGGGATCCGGTGATTCGGGCGGAGGAGTGGCGGTGTGGCGGTGATTGGAGACGGTGGCGCCGCCGCTGCGAGCGAGCATGATGAGGCAGAGAGCAAGGTACTCTTCTTCGGAAGGGTGGTCACGGGAACGCTTTGAACGCTTCCGCTTTGCCCATGGGATTGTTGGGTCGTCAAAGGGGAAGGATGGGGCAGTGGTGGTTGGTGAGTTGAGAGCTTCAAGAGCCATGTTTTGAGAAAGTGTGGAAGAGTGAGATTTTTGGTTTGGGTAAATTGAGTTGGAGTGAAGTGTGGGAAGGGGTTTATAAGGCGTGAGAATTTGAGGGAAGTTGCGTGACAAGTGGTAAGAAAGTAAGCGCGGTGGGCAAGCTAAGAAAATTGATTTATTTAATTATTTAATTTTAAAAAGAACAGATAGAATACAGGTGGAGTGTAGTGGAGCACGTTTTTTAGGTACATTATGGGGAATTTCTTGGTGGGCAAGAGTGAGCATAAGTCGGTCAAAGAAGTGTCACTGTGGAGGAGTGAGGGCACTGACATTGAGATAAGTGGAGAAGGGACTGAGAACCAACCAACCAACTGAACCAAGTGAAATTAGTATATGAATCAAGACTTGTTCCAAATTGCCAAATTCAAAGTTCTTAGTCAAATTTCACAATAAAGTACAAAAGAAAGGTTCTTGTGTTCTTACGGTGGGAAGGGAACGCGGTCCAATTTTCAGATCGTCTATAGCAGCCGGCACGACTTTTCCTTGTCAACTTCTTTTGGGGCCGACCTTTAAATCCCAACTATTGTTTTGCAACTTGGATTTCGAATTCTCTCAATTTTTCATGTTCAATGTAATTTTATTCTCCATGGATTGGGGTATAGTTTTTTTATAATGTAAAAGAAGACATAAAAGTGGTTAAACAAGAGGGCCTTACTGTGGATTGCATCACACATGCGAGGGTTTTGTTATTGTGGGGTAGAATCTGGTGTCAACAAGAACAAGTGGAGTAGAGTTGTATTGCCCTTTTACCACTAGTTTTTATTATACTTCCCAATTCATCAAAGTGGAGCGCGTCATAGCTGTTTACTAGTGCAGGATTCTCGTAGTTGCCTCTCAGAATATATATGGAAAAGGAAAAAATAATACTAATTTTAAATTAAAATATTGAAGATATTTTTAATCACTTATTGAGATTTATCCTTGCATTTATCCCTTGTCTTCGCCTACCCGATCCTGCCTTTAGATCCGTCAAATGTAATAGAACGGGGAAAATTACTATAAGATGATCTTTTGTTTAATTGTTTAAGCAAATAAAAATAATTTTTAAATTTAAGAAGTTATATAATATTTATAAAAGTACATAGAAATTAATACATTAAATTTATAGTTTTTATTTTAAAAATAAAAATTAGAGAATATTAATTAAAAATAAAAAATTATACTCCATAATCTCTCGCTCTAAAATCTAACTCTTAACATATTTTTATCGACAATCACTGTTATTTTCTTGTTCAAATGTCCTTATTTATTAGGCACATATTTTTTTTGGGTGTAAAATTATACAATAACTAAAATTATATAATAATTAAATTAAACATCTAAATGTAAAATATTAGAATTAGAATAAAAATAAAAAATTGTTTGCACACTAATTAAAAAATTGCATATATAAACATTTGGTTTTATTTATTTGAAGCATGGTTGATTGTTAATGAAAAATTCTTTTTCTTATGCTTAAAGTGTTAAAGAATTTTTAAATTTTAATAAATATAATCTATTTAAAAGAACATATATTTTGTTATTAAATTTTTTATATACTAATGATTTTCTTCTAAAAAAGGATATTCTTGTTATAATTTTTGAAATTTTATAAGATTGATATTTTCTGAAATAATTTCATACTTTCTATTGATTAATATGCAAACAATTTTTTAAATTAAATTGGTAACATTTAAACCAAATATATACATTTTAAATAATAAACACATTTTAAAATTAAAATCTAAAAAAAAATAGTTAAATCAACTTAGATAAACAAGCTTCAAGCGGCTGGTCGATTTTTTCTAAAAAATTTGTATTAAAAATTTGATATAAAAAAATTGTAGCATATTATTATCATACTTTTTTTTTTGTGTTACAAACTTAGCTAATATGTTAAAAATAATTTATTGTATTTCATAAATAATATTGCTTGTTTTTATTTTTACAGAAATATTTTAATTGTAAATATGTATTATTTATTTAATAAAATTTAGTCGTGTTTATTATGAATTAACATAAATAATTAAATTAAAACATATAAATTATGTGAATTTCTTAAAAAATTATATAATTTTTCAAATGATAACGTGAGTTTTCAAATATTTTACTATTGATCACGTTAATATACAGTTCGGATGTACACTTTTTACTTTCGTATAAAAATTATCTCTATGATATATAAAATAATAATTTGAATTTTTTTTTTTTTACATTTGATCGATTATAAATTTTAATTACTCAAATATTTTACTTATGCTAATTGATCGAGTTCAGTAGAATCAGTAGCATTTCGTGTCGACAGCAAGTTTTCCCGTGTCTTGCTCAAGTATTTTAAAGATAATAAAGTATAATAGTATATTTTATTTTATTAGTTACAAATAAATGAGAAAAAAAAAGACTTCTGAAATCAACATACGTTGTTTTTATGCTGTTAATTCAATATGATGCGTTAAAGTTGTTTTTAAAAGTAAATTTACATTGATATTGCATAAAAAAATATTAATATTGATTGAAATTATATATATCTTTTTAATTTATTCTATTTAAAAAATAATTAATTTAAATAATAATAATTATAAATAAATGACAAAGCTGAAATAAGATACTAAACGTAAGAAAACCGATCCAATATTTAATGAGCAAGAGGAGAGTTCTTAAAAATCTTCTAATCAAGTTTACAACGAAAAAGTAATAAGGATGAGTATGATTTTTTTTGGCAAAGGAGTATGTTTTCTTCATGACAGAATATATTTTCTTTTCAAATAATGATTAAATTAATTAATGAAAGTTTAATTAAAGTGTAATGAATTTATTACAATACGATATTATTTATTAACGTCTTCTACCATAAGATTGGTTTCCTTTAAAGAAAAAACGAATGAATCTTCGTTAGTGGACTTTTGTGTCAAGGATATTAAACAAATTTATACATATTATTATTATACAGTTAATGTAGATCCTTAATGTTTATATTAGCATATTATTTATTGTTAGATTAAGATTATACTGATAAAGGATATTATAATACTTAAAATTTTAGTTTATTAATAAATATACATTTTTATAATAATTAGTATCATGAAATAAAATATTAAAATTAATGATCAAAACTTCTATCAGGCAATTATAAGTATATTTTATAATCAAACTTATAACTTATTTAAAACTATATAACTATTTACTTGGTTAAAGAGTTATGAGAATTGTTTGATTGAAAAAAAAATTATAACTTTTAAAAGCTAATTTTTACAAAATAACTTTAAGTAATGTTTAGCTATAAACTAGTACTTAATAATTTATTTATTATTTTTTAAATAATTTAAACTTATCTCACCCTAATAAAAATGTTCTATACCACTGCAACCTCTTCTTGTTTTTCTTTGTCATTTAATTAGTTGACAAAAAATAAAAACAATTAAATAATTCATAAAAAAAAATGCCATAAAATGATGTTTAATTCTAATATAACATCGATAAAACATTACATGTTTATTTTAGTTATTTAATACATTTAAATTAATTATACAGCTAATTTTATTAAATAAATTTAATTTAATTATAACCACGTAAATATAAACTTCCAATTAATTTTAGAGCGACAATATATGACTTATAAAAATTAATTAATTTTATCAAACATAACTCATATATAATGAGATATCCAAAGGTATATATAAATAATATAATATACTAAAGGTATAAATAAGATTTATTAAAGTAAGAATACAACTTACATTATTTTTAATAAATTTTACAATAACAAAAAGTATTTAAAAAGGTATATTAAATAATATATTATTAATATTTTTTCTCAAAAATTACAATCTTTTTCAAAATACAACAAACTCTTTTAAGTTAAGCGGAGGCGACAGATTTATAACTCAAAGAGAAAGTGAAGGAAAAACGAAAAATAAAAAGTAAGAAGAAAAGTGAGTTAGAAGTAAAACAGAACTAAGAAAGAAGTAGTCTAGTATAATAAACAATACTTGACCAATTAAAACTAGAGATAAATAAAATTAAATAAGATTTAAATTAGGTTAAAACTTAGCTTAAAGAGAGTTCTAGATGAGATGTTTTATTTTTATCAAAAAATATAATTATTTATAAAAGATGTGTTTTATTTAAATTCCTTAATTGATTTTATAAATGTCACTCTTGTGTCTCGAGAATTTTCCTTAATCAGAGGGGAAAACGCAACAAGTAGAGTACCAATATCAATTTCCTTCTTCTAATTTCATTTTCTAGAAACCATATCATTTGGAAAGCTACGAGAAGCCTCCAAATGCTCTTTCCACCTTCCACTCAGTATCAACATTCAATGACAGCATTCATTCGCGGCTTATAATAAGAATCAAAATATTCTTCCCTCCGATATTTTCTATACAAAAATAAATAAATAAATTTTTAAATATATATTATAATTTTATAATATATTAAAAATATTTGCAATAATAAATAATAAATATATAATTTTTAATAATTAATATATTTATAATATTTATTATTATTATTATTTCTTATTTAAAGGATTAGACAATATATTATGTTAGGGAAGATGTTAAATATCTACAAATAATAAAATTTTAATAAAAATTATTTATTACATTAAAATATAAAAATGTAATGTATGTGTTATTTTTTTAATGAAATTTTATCACTATTAAATGCACTATAAATTGAGATAAAAAATGCATTATAAATTTAACTATAAAAATTAATATTAATAAAATTAATACTATTATTATTAAAATAAAATTAAAGAAAATATTATGCTTAATTGCTGACTACGTGGATTAATTAATATTATTCTAATATAATAATTAGTTTCTCATCTCCATCGTATTTATAAAAAATAATTATTATCCTGATATTCTTGCTATTTGTGCTAATGCTAATTATATCGTAAATGAGATTTGTGAGTTAACATGTGTTATTTCTCCAACTTGTTCCTTTGCATAACGATTATGAGATTTATTTTTCATATTTATTTATTAAATTTATTTGTTGTTTCAGGTTTTTAAATTTTGTTTATTATTAAAAATTTAATAAAATTTTTAAGTATTTGTTATCGTGTCATGAACTTGAAAAATATTTTTAAAAATTAAAAAATATATAAATATTTTAAAGATAAATCATTAACACTCTTAATCTTCACAGAAATTATCAAAAATTTATTAT